TTTACAGTAAAATGACTGTAACCTGCTCTTTCTAATTCATCCGTCCTGTAAGCTCGCCAACAGTCAGAATAAATTGTTGATTCTTGTTCAATGTGCTCCACGATTTTTGTCATTAGTGTGGTTGCTTCTCTATTAGGAACTGGAACGAGAAAACAATCACCAGTTTTTCGGCATATTCCGCCGAATATCCACTGTTGTGGAAGAACCCATCCAGCGTTGCTTTTTCGCCTTGTGAAAAGCGTTTCGTCGATTTCCACGATTTTTCCGGGACCGCCTATTCGCCTGTTCGGTTGTTTCAACAAATGTAAAAAACATACCTCCCTCAAAAAACTATTCCAGTCTATAGTTGTTTTGTTGCAAATATTTAGATGTTTTCGACACCACTTTATAGACGTAACTTCCTCCGTCCAATGGTAAATAAATCTTACCGCCGTTAAAAATGGTATCCGTGATCCGCTAAACCAATTATTAGAACGGATGCTTATCATTACATCACAGCTACTTATGGTGCATCTCCAAACGCCTTTAGATATATTTAATTTCATTTCATGCCCATTTTTACATATTCGAGCACTAGGTAAAATACCTTTTTCTTGAAAAAATAATACAGATTCTTCTTCGGTGCGTGGTAAATCGTATAATGAAGACATTTTTTTCTTTCTCACAAAGGTTTGGAAAACACGTGTCTGTTGAAAGGTCAACTGGCCGAGTTAATTTGTTTCGAGGGGATACAAGTACTAGTTGAGATGTTGGTAACCAGGGCGGCGCCACCATCTGGGATAAAGATTCACAAGTACCAATTAAATTAATTCAACTTCAAAACATAACCTGCGGTTTATATCAACAACATCTATCTTCACCGCACGTAAAATACATTAAAAACCCGAAGGAATATATTATTATTTATAGATACAAACATTTTCATTTCAAACTCCATAAGTATAAATAACCATTACAAAATACATGCATAACTCAAAAACAATATTGAACAGAACATACATCAAATAAATAAATAACATACTTTAACTTTTACAAAATATACATTAATTCAACCTCATAATCTACAGTTTATATCAAAAATATATTATCACCTCACATCAACAACTTTAAAATCTCAAAGGATATATTAGTATATCTACATACAACAAATAATTCATTACACTAATTTTATACAATATATTTAAAATACATATATACCTGGCAAAATCACAACATATGACTAGATCATTATGGCCTCACCATTCATCACAGAACACTACTTCGTCATTCTTTATTCTAATTATCCTATCGGCTCCTTTGTAATATTTATCTAATTCTTTCGATGTTATTTTTTTCAAAGTCACTAAGAATTTTATACCCCGCCTCCTGTTTTATTATTATTATCATATATATCGCACTAACTTTCTTGTTATCAAAAATTACTGAACATCTATTCTTCCACAACGCTCTTTTTATTAATGCCATAGTCCAATTCAGAAAGTAACCACTTTGTCCATGTAGGTAATAATTTATATGAAACTTGACATTCTGCCAGGTGATTCTTATTTTCCAAATTTTGGAGACCCATCTCCAAACACTCCTTGCTATATCGCAATCATAAAAGACATGTTTAATCGATTCTATTTTCCCACAACGTGCGCATTTTGCATCAGTTCTTTTAAGATAAGTAAATAAGTATTGTTTCGTTATAACTATATTGTTCAAAATGCGCCATGATACCTCTCTCCATTCTGCAGGAAGATTATGTATATTTTTCTACGTTAGATTCCAATTTAAAATACTATCTGTCATGTTATTATTTACCTGTTGTTTATGAATCACCTTGTAGATTGTACTAGGCCTAATTTTCTCGTTACCTTGTACAATGTCATTATTCTCTATCACTATTTTACTTATTATCTCTCGCCACTTACGAAACTGTTTTTTATTATTAACTAAAAACGGAAAACTGTTTTCCTCCTTGGTAACTTTCTTCGAAATCGGTCCTATTATATACCGTATAACATAAAATAACGGATGAGTTTTTTCGCGTAAAATATTTAACATTAAAGCAATCTGTAAGGAGCACTCCAGGTCTTTAATATCTCTCACTCTCCATCCTCCTTCATTTGGGTTATTTTTCATTATTTTACGATTTAATGGTTCAAATGTATTATCCCATATATATTGAAAGATTCTTTTTTCTATTTCTTTAGTTTCTTCTATTGTTAAATTTGTATAATATAGTATATAGATAAATTTTGGGATAATTGATCTATCAACAATAAACACCCTCTCCGGTAAATAAAACCAGTTTTGTTTCCAATCAATAATATCGTCTTCAATTTTCTTTACCATTTCATTTAGATTTTTTTTCCTTGCATTTTTTCCGAACCATACCCCCAGCACTTTCATGTTTTCTACCAATCTAAATTTGTCTTGTTTACAACCCACGTTTCCAACTACACTCAAAATTTTACTTTTATTTTCATTAAAACGCATTCCCGTTAA